AACTTAGTAAACTCTCCCAACTTAAAGTTATTTAATACGTCAACTCTCCCACCTGACTTTATTACGTGTACTCTCGTAACAGAATCTAAAATCATATTAAAACAGTAACAATGTTATCTTAACAAGAAACTATTATTTATATTTTATTTATTATTCATATTTATTATTTACATTATTTATTATTTATTTACATTATTATTATTTTAAAGTTTTGAAAGATATCAGAAAGGTATTATATTATTTTTATTTTCATGTTACTGATTTAAGAGAGATAGTATTTTTATTTATTATTATATTTATATTTGTATTTTTATATAGCTATCATTAACTGATATTTCAGAAAAGCTTTGATAGCTATCATAATTAATTTCATTAAGTTTCTTATTAAAGTTATGTCTAATTCTATTATTTTAATATTTGATATTTAAATTATAAGTTTTAATAATTTAGTAGTTTAATCTTTTGAACACAGTCACTCATCATATTTCAAAAATATTATTATAGACAATAACTCTAAAAATAGTGATAATATATATTTTTCTGATTTTTTTTTGATAAAGTTATTATAATTATAAAATTATTGCAATTAGAATAATTTTGTTAAAAAAATCTAAAAATTCAGAAAAATTATAAAAAATTATAACTTATAATATTTATTTTAATATAAAAATAAAAAATATTTATTAATAAAATTGAAAACTTTTATATAAGACAAAAAATTTAATTTTTATTATATTTTATTAATAAAATTACATATATAATTAAATAATTTTATTAGTTATTATATATAGTTTTATAATTTTTTAATTATTAAAAATAATTAAAAACAATAATTAAAAAATTAATTAATAATAATTTTTTTATAATTAATAATTATTTATTTTTAATTATTTAAAAAGTATAATTTATATTTTATATAAATAAATAATATCTAATTCTTTTAGATAATTAATATTTTTTGTAAATTTTATTAATGTTATTTGAGTATTTTTGTTATAAATATATATTATTAAGAATAGAATATAGATTTTTTTATTTATTATTAGTTATATAATTTTTTATAATTAAATATATAATTTTTTTATAATTAATTGCTTATTATCATGTAAAAAAATATACTTTATTCTTAAAATTATTATTGAATTAATATAATATAATAACTTTTAAATTAATATATTTTATATTAAAATTCTCTTAGCTTTTTAACTAAAAATAAATACAAAATTTAACTAATATATTATTAAAAATTTTTTATAATATTATTAATTAAATTTTGTATTTATTATTTAGTTAAAAATAGAATATGTAATATTATTAAATTATAAAATTAATTATATATTTTTCTAGTAAAAATTAAGTAATTTGATTAAATTCTAAATAAAATTTTTTTAATCTGATAATATTATATATTTTATTTTTAAAAAATTAAATTTAAGAATTTTTATACTATAATATTATTAATAATATCTAGTTTAATTATTTAAATAAAGAAATTATTAATTTATAAATTTATTTTTTATATTATTTTAAAATTTTAAAATTTTTTTAAAATATAATTAATTTTTTCTATAATTATATTTATTTATAATTATATTTTTATAATTATTTAATTTTATTTTTTAATATATAATAACTATAAAAAATAAAATACTAAAACAAATTTATTAATAAAATATAGTAAAAATATGAAATACAAATTTTTTTATAAAAGTTTTTAATTTTACTAATAGATATTTTTAATAAAATAAAGCTAATATTTTAATATATATTTTTCAGATTTTTTAAATTTAATTTGAAAAAGCTATTTTAATTATATATAAAGTCAATTATTTTTTATATGCAATTAAAACAGTTTTATCAAATTAAATCTAAAAAATTCGAATAAAATATATGTTAAAATATATATTATCTTTATTTTATAAAAAATATTTATTAATAAAATTAAAAACTTTTATAAAAAACCTATAATTTTCATATTTTTACTATATTTTATTAATAAATTTATTATTATTTCATGTATTATTATTATTATTATATATATAAATATAATAAAAAATATTTTTATAGTTATATATTTTTTATAATTATTTAATTTTATTTTTCTAAGAATAATTAATAACTATAAAAGAATTTAATTATAAATATATTAATAATTAAGTTTATATTTAGTTTAATATTTTTATTAATTTAATAATTATTATATTATTAAAAAAAATTATTCAAAATTTATACAAAATAATATATTTATTATAAAATTTTAATTAATAATACTATAATATTATAATATTATATTTTTTATTTATTATAATATAAAAACTAAATTATTATAATATTATAATAATATAAATATTTATCAATAATAAATAATTAATTTAAATATATTATAACTAACAAGATTATAAAATTATATATATAATTTTATTAATAAAATATAGTAAAAATTGAAATTTTATCTTATAAAAGTTTTAATTTTATTAATAACTATTTTTAATTTTATATTAAAATAAAAATTATAATTTATATTTTAATATATATTTTTTCTTTGGATTTTTAAATTTATATTCTAATTCAAAATTATTATAAAAATTTTTTATAATTGAAATATAAAATTAATTATAAAAACTTTTTGTAATAACTTTAAAATATAACTTATAGTCATTATTTTAATATAAAAAGAAAAAAATATTTATTAATAAAATTGAAACTTTTATATAAAACAAAATTTTTAATTTTTAATATAATTTATTAGTTATTATATATATCATTTTTTAAAAACTTTAAAAATTACCAATTTTAAAAAGTTAAATTTCTTAACTATAATAAATAACTCTTTTTAAAATATAATTATAAATAAATTTTATTAATAATTTATAAAATAAAAATTATTTTTAAAATTAATAAATTTTTTCAATTTTAGAATAATTTCAAATTTTATATTTATATTTTTAAAAATATATAAATATAGTCAATTTTTTATAATTATATTTATTTATAGTTATATTTTTTTATAATTAGGAAAGTGATATATATTATATAATTATCAGAGAGAAAAGAAAGATCTCAAAAATCTTATTTTTCACGTAATTAAAAATAATTAGCCAATTAAAAATAATTAGCCAATTAAAATATAATAAAAATCTTATTAAAAGAGAAGAATTATCTTTATAGTAACTTAATATTATAATATATATCATTTCTCTTATCTTATTTTGTGTTTTTATTTATATATAAATATTATTAATTTTATTTTTTTAAAATAATAATTATAAAAAAATTTAATTTTATAATATATAATTTTAATAGCTTTAAAAATTAAATAAAATAATAAAAAATTTTTAATTAATATTAAAAATCTTAATTTAACAAGCATATAATTTTATTTAAAAATTAAATATTATACTCAAAAATTATATTAATTTTTAATATATATATTTGTATTAAAAAAGTTATATATTTTAAATTTTAATAAAATTATAATTTAAATAATATTATAATAATATTAATCAATTAAATTAAATCATATAATAAAAAATTATCAATTTTGAACTAATTATATAAAAAAATATTTGTTTATAACTTTTTATATAATTTTTTTAAAATTTGTTTGATAATTTTGATAAAGCTTATTTCAAAAAACATTATTATTGGTTTAGTTTTTCTAAATTCTATCTTTAAAATGTTAAAAAATTTTAAAATAACTTATTATATAAAAAATATTTATTTATAACTTTTATATAATTTTTTTAAAATTTAATTGATAATTTGATAAAGTTTATTTCAAAGAATAATATTACTGGTTTAGTTTTTATTTTTATAAAATGTTAAAAGATTTTAAAAATAACTTATTATATTATTGAGTTAAGATTTCTTATATATAATAATGATTACAAAAACATGTGGCACTATTGTGGCTTGAGCCGTTATTCACTTCATGTGACTTGTGTTAAAAATCTAATCACGTGATTAAAATCACCTGACTTTTATACTATACTAAATATAGTAGTATTAGTCCTCCCCACTTTGAATTCAGGTATAACCCATCGATTTTAAAAACACGACTACGACCTCAACAATATTCATCGAGACAATCATCTTTTGATCGACTTATGTGACGAAATGTTTCAAGAACGAAAGATGCTACTAAAATTCCTTCCTGCATGATGATGTTATTACTATGGACTTCCATCTTTAACGATGATATGAATTGAAATTCTGACCAATAGTACGCGTTTTTCTACGTCGAAAGTTGAGAGCACGATAACGGAAGGAAAAAGCGATAATAGTAAATGTAGTAAATGGAGTAAATGATATATGGTGATGGTGGCCTTTTATTATTAATGAGGCTTCTGACTCTGGTCAATGAACAACAATTAATCAGAGTAATTTTGCTTTTTTGTTGTGTTGTGTGTTGTTGTTTCATATTTCCCTGATGATAATTGTATTGTGCTTGCATTACTATTGGTTCAAACGAGCAATGGGATTTTTCACATATACCAACGATTTCCTTTTTTTTTGCGGTTTTAGTTTGTGATGAAATGATTTATTTGGGTGATTATTTGATTAGTTATTTTATTTGAGAGAAATTTACCTATAAATTGAGCCAGTATTTTTCTAAACTCTAGCTTTTCTTTTTCTTTTTCTTTCCCATTTATTCATTTATTGTCATTACACATTTACAAAATAATAAACAAACACATATTATTTTAAAATAAATTTTTTTGTCTTTACTTTTAACAAATACTAGTCTTTAGCCATGGCTCGTACCAAGGTAAATATTAAAAAAAAGCTTGCCTGAACTTTGGAGAAAGAAACCATTTGCTTCATTGGCGACCTAACTCAATTTCAACAAAAAAAAGAAAGAAGTCATCTTTAAATTGACGCATAAGTCTATTGTTACTTGCACAAATAGCAAACCGCACGTAAGAGTACTGGTGGCAAAGCTCCCAGAAAACAACTCGCCACCAAAGCTGCTCGTAAGTCTGCCCCAGCCACCGGGGGTGTAAAGAAACCACATCGCTATAGACCCGGTACCGTCGCTTTGCGTGAAATCCGTCGTTACCAGAAGAGTACCGAACTTTTGATCCGCAAGTTGCCTTTCCAACGTCTTGTACGTGAAATCGCCCAAGACTTCAAAACGGACTTGCGTTTCCAGTCGAGTGCTATTGGTGCTTTGCAAGAAGTAAGCATAGGTTTTTTTACGATGGGTGACGATCATCGTCATCTCCATCATCCATTCCCACCCCCTCATTCAGACTTAGTACTGCGCCGCCATATAATGATACACGCCTTTTCGAATTGTTATTTTATTTTTTTGCTAACGTGAATTCTAAATTATTTTCGCGTGTGGCATTTTTAGGCCGCAGAGGCTTACTTGGTCTCCTTGTTTGAAGATACTAATCTTGCGGCTATTCATGGTAAGCTTCTTCCTTTACTTAATATATTGTATATCTGAATGTGTGAATGTGATTGACATACATTACTATGAGAACAATAACATCAATAATAATGCTTGAAGTAAAAACATCTTTTTTTGCTGATCGCCGATGTATGAGATTGACACACATTTACACATTCGGTTATTCAACTAAATAATTTACCAACTTTCTTTACCAAATTAATAATTAATTTTGTGTCATCTAAAATAATACAGCTAAACGAGTCACCATTCAGCCAAAAGATATCCAACTTGCTCGTCGTCTCCGTGGCGAACGTTCTTGATTATTATACTAGCTCAAAAATAACCATAAAAAATAGCAACTAAACAAATAACAATCTTGTCTCTGTCAAAGCAAGTAATAATTTGCAGATTTTGCTTAAGGAAGCTTCACAAATCATCTTTTATGTAGTAAATTCTCTTGTGTTTAAATATATATATACATACATGTACGTAACTACTACTATTACTCTTCCTTTAGTTATTATTACTACCCATGAAAACCGATTATATTCTATGACAACTATTATTTCTTCCCTTTTTAAGCATTAATTATATTAATATTAGTAGTAGTGAGTGGTAAATTATAATTAATATCAAATACACTTTTGAACTCTTGAAAAAATTACTGCGCACAGAATATAGAATACACGCAGAGTATATCATAACAAGCAAATGTATTGTATTGTTTTTGTGTTGTGCAAGTGTTTTTTTAATTGCGTATTTAAATTTGCGACAATTAATAATTTACTGCTTCCTTCCTTTCGCTTGTGTCTCGCTAGTGATTAAAATAACAATTAACATTAACTAATATTGGCATCATGTCGTAATTAAGCTGTCCCATCCTACTTTCGGGATTATTTATCTTTGCTCGGCTCATTTTTGTGATACCTCGAATGTACTTTGGAATGATGAATGAATGAATGAATGAATGGAAGTACAAAAACATCACGTGACTATTGTCAATTTTTAAACGGATGTTGGAAATGATAATTAATTAAATTTAATAATTTAATATACAGTAATTACTTATTTGATTAATATTGTATATTGCAATTAAAGACAAAAAGAATTCCAACTTGATGAATATTTTATTACCTTTTTTTTTTGGAGGTTGTATTGGCCGAGTTTTCCGAGGTCTATTGGTTCATTATTATTATTATCATCATTATTATCATCATATTTATTATCCGCAATAATGATCGCACATATACAACAACAAAGAATCAACCATGTTGGTAATTTTCAATTTGATTGGCTAACGATACGTGGTGAGGGGAACTTGCTTTTGTTCTTTCGCATATTTGTCGTTATCGTCTACCATAGTAATAAAAGTTTGCAAAGGTGTCACGAGAATGTGACGTATGCGTATGCACGTATGTACATCATTTCCTGTGTCACGCATATATGTGTATCGGTAGGTGCATGTGTGTGATATTTTGTCGGATGTGGTAGGAAAACTGATTTGATAATGCCAATGGCCATTTCTCTAAATCACAAAAATCACAGAAAGTACCCTAGCCATGGCGAAAAAAAAGTTACGGGTCATGTGATTCCGAGCTATCCGAACTAATCAGATTTTTCCAA